AGTTTTTTAAATTTTGACTCTATAGCGCCCCCTACAATCTTGCAACAGTTATATCTCAATGATATATCATCCGATCTGCACCAAATTTTTGGTATATTATTATGTAGCCCTGATGGACACATTAGTAATGTTTTTTAACTTTTGACTCAAGAGCGCCCCCTATAATATTCCAACCCTTATATCTCAATGATATATCATCCGATCTGCACCAGATTTTTATGGCATAATGTGTGACCATGTCTAAACACATTGTTAGTGTTGTTTAAAATTTGACTCAAGTGCGCCCCCTAGATTTTTCAAACTGTTATATCTCAGTAATATGTCATCCGATCTGGACCAGATTTTGGGTGCATCATTACTGAGAGCTGATGGACATTTTAGTTTTGTTGTTTAATATTTGACTCAAGGGCGCCCCCTAAATTATTCAAACTGTTATATCTCAGTGATGTGTCATCCGATCTGGACCAGATTTTTGGTGTGTTATTAGTGAGCACTTAAACACACAATGGTATTGTTGTTTTACTTTTGACTCAAGTGCGCCCCCTAGGTAAATCAAACTGTTATAGCTCAGTGATATATTGTCCGATCTGCATCAGATTTTTGGTGCTTGACTAGTGAGGACTTATGGACGCAGTGGTGTTGTTGTTTAATATTTGACTCAAGTGCGCCCCCTAGATAATTCAAACTGTTATATCTCAGTAATATATCGTCCGATCTGCACCAGATTTTTGGTGCTTGACTAGTGAGGACTTATGGACGCAGTGGTGTTGTTGTTTCATATTTGACTCAAGTGCGCCCCCTACATTATTACAATAGGTATATATGCGGTCGCAGCTTATGTCAAAGGTTCGGCAAATGCGCACTCCGGAGAAAGGGCGCGTGACGGTAGCGTGAGCGTTCTCGATGGCGACCGGGAAGGGTCGCTGCAGTTCCCACGGTCGCCATAAGGCCGCAGCGGCGCTTCGCTGCGAGGGCCTTCAACGCTGCTTGCAGCTTTAATTATTATTATTATTATTATAATTCTCTTCCGCTTTGAAACGCTTATTTCGAGGGGTTAACATATTGGAAACCTAGCCAAACTTTACCCAAAATTGTCCCCCGCGAGAAATAGTAGTATGATAATGGAACCAAAAGTGGGCGTGGCCAAACTGCTCTACAGCGCCCCCTAACGTGAGATATGAAAACTGGTAAGTCCTAGAGAGCTGAAATTTGGTACATATGTAGAACCC